AATGAATCTACGACATTTCCACTCTGAATGGTGTGGAATTCTCGGTTTTGTGGGGTGGTGTAATAGTGAGTATTCTGTGCGAAGTATAATAGACTTGTTTTCTTTTATTTTCAGTTTAGTTTTGACGTGGAGTCATTGGATGGCTCGACTTATGGAGTCATCCATAATTATTTACTGATAGTGTATTGACACGTTTTTTACAATAAATAAAATTTGGACAGGTGTCAATACATTAAGTGGTGGATGGCTCCATAAGAAAACAATCGGATGGTTCCACAGAATTTTTTACTTTTATTTTAACTATATATTTTCGCTAATCTTTTATATTAGTATAAATAATATTTTAACATCTATATTTATTTTTTGATATAAGAAAATAAGAATTTTACTTATTCTTGTTTATCATAATACTCAACTATTCTTCTCTAAAACTTATTGTCATATAATGTCATAATTATTATTATTATTATTATTAATTAATTAACAAATTTAAAATAAATATTGTGTCATGTATGCTTTCTATTCATTTTTTTTACTTTGTCCTATCTCATAATAATTAATATATATATATATATATATGTGTGTGTGTATGTGTATGATTTTATGACATTATTCAATATGCTAAGCCTAAAAAGAGATATTAGTAATTAGGTTGTATTATCGGTGAATTTTGTGGTAGAAATTTTGCAATCAGCGTATTGAATTTTATGATAGAAGATACTAACTCAATATATTGCTTTTGATTTATTTTAAATCAATTACCATTTAAGATTGTTAATGTAACAAAAATAATAGAAAAAATTTAAAACTTTAAAAAGGTATCATAGTTAGATAAATTCCGACAACCAATTGCGCGTGATTTCTCAAAAAAGTTAACTAAAGTTCACATGATTATGTAGTCGGGATTTTCCAAGACTTTATTTGACAAAATGTGTTAAACAATTCATATAAATTTATTCTTTTCAACCGGTAAGAAGCCTGAAAAAATTAATAAAATTTCCCATGATTGTGTAGTAGGTATTAGAATATAACTTGTGAGTTGTCTCACATCGTTTATATAGGAAAAATAGGTCCAACTTATAAGCATAGTGGCCTACCCCTCCTTCCACCACTTAGTTTTGAGATATAATCTCACTTGGGCTTCATGGACTTATCCTATTATGGTACGCTTCACGTGCATGAGACCGCACCTGTTTGCCCCGTTTCTTACATGGTAATCAGAGAGCCGGTTCTATGTGGTCTGTTTGCCCCCGTTCTTACATAGTATCAAAGCGGTTCTATACAGTTTTTCTCTGTTGTTCTTTAAGTTCGCGGGTGAGTTATTTCCACGGAGAAATATTTTTATTGACCTTCTACATGCAACTTATTTTTTTATGTGATGAATTCTGTTACAATATTCAATCAGTGTTCTCAAAATGCATTTTTTTTCATTTTTTTTTTAGATACAATTCACAATTTCAAGTTCTTGATTCAGTTTCTTCTGGTCTAATCTGCTCTAGCATCTTCACAACTTCTGCCATGGTAGGTCTTCTCGATGGCTCTGATTCAAGACACATCATTGCTATACTAAATGCACGGTTCACCTCGTCTACCGGAAAATCCGTCAAACTGCAGTCGAGCACATACTCTTCTCTCTTTTCTTGGACAACTGACTTCACCTGCAACATATTATAATCTCAAACCTTGTTTTCACCTTAAAGAAATGAAACCATGCTGGGAATCACTATGGCCTATGATATAAAATAAAAGTGACCTCTTGCTGTTAAGAAAAAATATAAACTGTGAGTCAATCAGGTAAATAGAAGTCAACAACATTGATTGCAAATCAAGCATTGATAAGTTTAAGCAATCGCTCAACACAGTATTATCGATGCAGAACGTATAATAAATAAACGTAACTCGTAAGAAAATGAATTTCACTTCGATTCGAAAGTTTTTACCCAAGTCACCAGCTTAGTTCCCTCCTCAACAAATGCTTCATCCGTCGGCTTTTTACCCGTTAGAAGCTCCAATAACACGACTCCAAAGCTGTAGACATCTCCTTTTGCCGTAGCTTTTCCAGTATCAAAATATTCTGCAGGGGATCAAAACATATCACTAAGATCAGATATAAATAATAAAGGGAATAAAAGAAGCTTATAATTGTCTCAAAAAAGCATACCAGGAGCCAAATATCCAAAAGTGCCAGCAACTAATGTCGACACGTGAGTTTTATCCGGTTCCATCAAAGTAGCTAACCCAAAATCTGATACTCGAGCGTCCAAGTTGTGATCCAACAATATATTGCTCGACTTAATATCTCTGTGTATTATATGAGGAATGCAGTCATGATGAAGGTACGCAATCCCTCGTGCGGCTCCAACTGCTATTCTGTATCTTGTAGGCCAGTCAAGAGCCATCTTGTTCATACATTTTCCTGCATCACCATTAACAGTGCTTACTCGAGTCTCGGATCTCTATTTTAATCGATTATTTCTATAGCTTACCGTGAAGCAGTGTGTCTAAACTGCCATTAGGCATAAGTTCGTAAATGAGAAGGTTGTACTGTGGGGCCGTGTAATATCCGTGTAGCGTTACTATATTCCGATGCTTAATGTCTCCCATTGCCTCCAACTCTCTCTCAAACCCACGGTCTTGCTCGCCGCTTAATCTGTTGACTCTTTTGACTGCTAACGAAATTTGATCGTCGATCGCCAGCTTGTAAACCGTCCCGAATCCTCCTGATCCAATCACGTCCTTACTGCTCAGCCTCATAGTCTTCTTCAAGAACACGCTCGGGTTTAAGGATTTGATTCTTGGTGATGCGAACATGACTAGTTTCCCGCCTGGTTTTTTAAAATGTTATGGCATCTGATTAAAACATTGTTGTGCAATAAATGAGCCGAGTAAGAAAAGATGGGGAAAGGTTGGTTACCTTTGGTGGTGTCTTGAATGACCGTTTGTTTCGTTTTCCATCGGCGGTAGCAAAGGACGGCCATTATGATCTTTGAGATGACAAAGGCGATTACTGAGATGGTGATGTAGAATGGAGTGTTTACCATTTGTGTAGAGTTTTTGGCAGCTATATATAAGAGAACTTTGAAAAATGTCAAATATTAGCATAAATTTATGCACAAATTTTGAGCCATGTTACATGGAGAGTTGGCTTAAAATGGGAACTCACCTTGTAAAATGCAGCAAAAAAAGGGTATTCGTGTGCAATGTTCGTGCGTGCTCGGTTTTCTTGCTCGGACACGATTTGAAGTGTTTTAAACTTTTTTCCAGCAACCAAGAGCTGTATCGAAATTGAACAAAACAGAACGAATTTTTCGACGCGACTATGTTGAGGAAGATGATGAGCCAGTGGTCTCTGAAGGATTTTATTTGTGTGAAGTGGAACTCAGAAGCAAAATCATGTGAATCGTGTGAAAGGATTGTACGTAGTGGCAGCTATGTGGCCTAATTTTTCTGTGTCTGTGCAAGTAAAAAAGTTGATAGAATGATCATTCTTGGGGAGTTTCCCTTTACGGAAAGAAGAAAAAGTTGTGAACTAAGATTTTGTGTTCCCACGCTAAAAGGTCATATTAGCTGTGTTTGCATGAATCATGTGAAATCCATTTATTGATTTATTTCACACTATGCCTTATCATATGCCTGAGTTGGCCTTCCGTGTTCACAAAAAATTACTAGTCATGTGTTTTTTTTATAATCTCTTGTGTAATCCAGTCTAACTGTGTGATTCACTCTAACCCTTTACGGATCCTTGTCATACAATTTTAAAAGGATGTATTCTTATGTTTGAAATGTATGCATCTTATTATATTGGGTAGAAAGTGAGAAAGGTGTTCGCTGAAAGAAATATGAATGAATCTTATTTATAATAATTCAACGGACGGACCTGGAAATACTCTCCTCTCTCTCCAACCCCTTTCGTCTTCCCCCAATTTAAAGAACAAAAAAAAAACCTAAGTTTTTTCGCCATCTACCTTCCCCGACGGGGCGGCCGAGCCCCTCGACAGTGGCGGATTCCTGGCTTACGGCGCAAATGCGATTTGATGTCGGGGCCCATCTTCTCGAGCGATGGAGTCGGTTGGCGTACCCGGGTGGTCCTCAGCTCCTTTGACTGCCATTCCGGGATGAAGACCGCCGGTTTCCATGGAGGTGAGACGGAGGAGGGCTGTGATGTTGCGTCAGAAGCGGGTTGTGGTTTCGTTTGCCGTAGAAGTGGACGGGGCGGAGGTCAGTGGCTGCCTCCCCTTGTTCTTCTCTCCCCTGGTGTTAGGTAGGAAGGATCTGTCATCGCACCGGTCTGACAGTGGTATTGGCTGGGAATGGGGCGGTGGTGTTGTTTAATAATAAAATGATGGGCAAAGGATAACCGAGTTACCCGACTCGGGTCGATCTCGGAGGAA